CTTATATGCATCCGAAGAAGTGGGCTGTAGTCCACGAAAGCTTATGCTCTAATAAATTTGTTAGTCTCTAAGATGCCACAAGTACTCCTGTTCTTCTTTTTGTCCTATCTCAGGGCCTCTCCTTCTGCCGCACCATCCCCACAAACATAATACAGTTCTGCGGTGACCTAGAATCCTACTTTTGCTGTCTCCAACTCAAGGAATATTTCCACCACACCACTGAACAGCACATTAACCCACAGAAACCTTCCTACCAACGCTACAAGACGAAGGATTCTGCATGGACTCCTCCTGATGGTCGAAACAACAGACTGGACTTCTACATAGAGTGCTTCCACCGAAGTGCATGAGCTGAAATTGTGGAAAAGCAACATCACTTGCCCGATAACCTCAGCCATGCAGACACAACGCTATCCACAGCCTCAGAAACCACTCTGACATTATAATAAAAAAGGCTGACAAAGGAGGTGCTGTAATCATCATGAATAGGTCGGAATATGAACAAGAGGCTGCTAGGCAGCTCTCTAACATCACATTCTACAGGCCATTACCCTCTGATCCCACTGAGGGTTACCAAAGGAAACTGCACCATTTGCTCAAGAAACTCCCTGAAGCAGCACAGGGAACAAATCAACACAGACACACTCTGACCAGAGGTAGTCTGCTACCCGTGATCCATAAACCTGGGAATCCTGGACGCCCCATCATCTCAGGCATTGGCACCCTGACGGCAGAATTGTCTGGCTATGTGGACTCTCTCCTCAGGCCCTATGCTACCAGCACTCCCAGCTATCTTCAAGACACCACTCACTTCCTGAGGAAACTACAATCCATTGGTGAACTTCCAGAAAACACCATCCTGGCCACTATGGATGTAGAAGCCCTCTACACCAACATTCCACACAAAGATGGACTACAAGCCATCAGGGACAGTATACCCAATAGTGTCCTGGAAAACCTGGTGGCTGAGCTTTGTGACTTTGTCCTCACCCACTACTATTTCAGATTTGGGGACGATTTATACCTTCAAGTCAGTGGCACTGCTATGGGTAGCTGCGTGGCCCCACAGT